AGAATCCAACTCTGAAGAGATACTCTCACTGTCTCACATAACAAACAACTCTGCTATTGTCTTCTTTTTCCCCCTAACAAACAAACAAAAGACATGTAAAAAATTGAAAACAGAAACCTTAGCTCGCGGGCCGGGCCGGAGAATGCTGGGATGTCGGGCCCGTGGAAGCCGCATCGGGCCCAACCCTACACCCTTCCAACATGAACACAACATCGGCCATCATGGGCCGGTCCACTGGGTCGGGAGCCGTGCAGAGCAGGCCCACCTTAATCCCCAGCAGAAACTCCTCCCACTCGGACGACTCAGGGTCGAGCTCCAGCAAACCGGGCTCGAGCAGCTCCGCCACCTGTCCCCTCTGCAGCTGCCTCTTGACCCACTTGACAATGTCCTCGTCCTCTTCCCCAAACATAACGGGCCTCTTCCCAGTAAGCAGCTCAAGCAAGACAATCCCAAACCCGTACACATCAGACTCTTTCGTTGCCTCACGGGCCAAGCCCAATTCAGGGGCAGCATACCCAATTGTCCCTACAGATGATGATGTGGATGCTTCGGCCTGGGAAGGGCCCAGAAGCCGGTCCAGCCCAAAGTCGGATATATGGGCCTCGAAGTCAGCGTCGAAGAGCACGTTTTGGGGCTTCACATCTCCGTGGGCCATGGGGACGGCATGGAGAAAGGCTAGACCACGCGCAATACCGAGTGCGATGAGGTGGCGCATTGGCCAGTTCAGGACGTGACCGTCTTGGTGGGCAGCCTCCTGCAGGTAGAGAGTTGGCAAAGTGAACTTGTTGTAAGTTGTGATAGTTTGGATCAATTAAAGAATGCTCAAATTAATATGGTTAGAAAGCTACACAATCTTCATCCCAGACAAAGACTTCAAATCAATAATGTTGGGAAATTAAAAGGTAGATGCAACTTCCAAATGTAGTATCAGAATTCATTATTGTTATGATTATATTTTTTATGACTTTGTTACATTGATGGTCAAATAAATGAAATAAGAGCAACGATGAACGTCAAATTTAGCACTGCCACAAGCTATATTGTTGATTTTGACTGCAACGAGATATTAAACTGCGCTGATTATTAATTTGGTGGCCAATTTATTGCATGGATAGATGTTAGTTCAGCAGGTACGCGTCAATAACATAGCCATATCTAATATTGTGTTCATAAAAACTTTTTTTTTGGGGGGGATTTGGTGGGGAGCCCAAACAAACAGGTTGAGGTTCCCAAATTTCACTCTTATTTCTTCCTTCTTTCAAAAAATTCAAATGATTTCTTCTTTTGGGTAATTAAACTAAACCCACACAAACAAAGTTCTGATTCCTACCAATATGACTACGAGACACACAATTTAGATTTAACTATAATCACACAATAAAGATAACACGAATATACATACCTGCAACAATGTCGCGAGGTTCCCATTAGGCATGTAATCATAGACAAGGAGCCTGAGGTCAGGCCTTGACCCGACATAGTAACCCCTAAGAACCGTCAAATTCCTGTGCTTCACCCGGCCCAGAGACTCAGCCTCCTTTCGAAACAAATTCGGGTCCACGTGAGCCCCACCTTCAGGAAGAAGCCGGCGCACAGCAAGCACCATCCCATCATCATAACACGCCTTGAACAGCACCCCATGTCGGCTCCTGCTCAGCACGTTCTCCTCGTCAAACTGTCTCGTGGCCCCCACAGTCTCCGCCAGCGTGATTTTATCATTGAACATCACAAGCCTTGGCGGGCCGGGCCCAAGCCCATTCTCGCTGCTCCCCGGCCCACTTGACCTTGAGCTGGCTCTTGCCGGGCTCTTCTTCTTCTTCTTCTTCTCTCCTGCCTGCTCTTCCCGAATCCTCTCCCGCCATCTCAAGAAACTGTATACATAGAAACAGCAGCAAGAGAGCATGAAGAGGGTCCCACCAGCGGCCACAGCAATAAACATGATTAGCCTGTTGTTTTTACCACCATCGTTATTTCCATTTTCATTTTCATCACATTTTGAGCCCAATGGGGCCCCACACAGGCCCGGGTTGCCCGCGAAGAACGACCCGTTTTGGAACCTCGAGCCGATGGCTGCTGGGATGGGCCCCGTCAAATGGTTTGAGTCGAGCAAAAGGGAAGTCAACGAGGAGCAGTTAGAGATTTCTCCCGGGATTTGACCCGTGAGGTTGTTTTCGCCCAAATCGAGTGTCGTCAAATGAGAGAGTCGAGAGAGCTCAGAGGGAATTTCGCCGGTCAATGCGTTCGAGCGAAGGTCAACGACTCTGAGAGATGAGCAGTTCCCGAGCTCGGAAGGGATTGGGCCCCAGATATGATTGTGGGAGAGTGAAATGACAACTAACGACCTCATGAAACCAAAAGTTGGTGGAATGCGACCCGAAAAGGAATTGAAGGAGAGGTTCAAGTAGCTTAGCCCGTCTAAGCTAGTTAGACCTTCGGGAAGTTCCCCGGAAAATGAATTTTCCTGCAAGGCAATCACTTGGAGATTGGGCAGGCCCACGAGATCGAGAGGTAAAGTTCCCGACATGTTCTGTTTGCTCAAATCTAGAGACGTCAATTTGAACAAGCTCCCGATGCCTTCTGGGATGGACCCAAATAATGCATTGCTGCTAAGGTTCAAAACCACAAGCTGCCTGAGATTTCCAATGCTTGTTGGGATGGGCCCGTGAAACCTGTTTCCACTAATATCTAATGTGGACAAATTAGTCAGAAGCATCAGTTCAT